GTATTTGTCTTTCTCTGACTGACTTATTTCACTTAGCATAATGTTCTCTAGTTCCATCCATATTGTTGCAAATGGTACTATTTCCTTCTTCTTTATAGTTGAGTAATACTTCATTGTGTAAATGTACCATAGTTTCTTAATCCAGTCATCTACCGATGGGCATTTCAGTTGTTTCCAAGTCTTAGCTATTGAGAATAGCGCTGCAATGAACATAGGGGTGCATATATTTTTTCAGATTAATGTCTTGGGGTTTTTTGGATAAATACCTAAGAGTGGGATTGCTGGGTCACAAGGTAGTTCCATTTCCAGTTTTTTGAGATAACTCCATACTGATTTCCATAGTGGCTGTACCCATCTGCATTCCCACCAGCAGTGCACCAGGGTTCCCTTTTCCCCACAACCTCATCAGCATTTGTTTGTTGATTTATTGATGATAGCCATTCTGACCAGGGTGAGGTGGTATCTCGTTGTGCTTTTTATTTGCATTTCCCTAATGCTAAGTGAGGTTGAACATTTTTTCATATGCCTGTTGGCCATCTGTATGTCCTCTTTGGAGAAATGTCTCTTCGTATCCTCTGCCCATTTTTTAATTGGGTTTTTTTTTTGGTGTTGAATTGCATGAGCATTTTATATATTTTGGATATGGATGAAGGAGAAGGGGAAGGGATGAGACAATACAAATTGGTAACTACAAAATGGCCTCAGGGATAGACAAGACAGTCTGGGGAATATAATCAATAATGTTGTAAATATTTTTTTAGGGGGCCAGATGGACTCATGCCTTGTTAGGGAGACCACTTCATAGTCGGTGTAGAGGCCTGACTACCAAATTGTAATCTGAAGCTGATGTTGAATAACAATGTATGTCAACTATAATTATATATACATATAGTCACGGGATGTGGAGTAGAGAGTAGGAATGGAGTCAATGGAATTGTAATAGATAAGTATGATATCGGGGATGGGAGGGTAATAGATGTGGGGAGGGGATTGTTACTTTGTGAGGGGTGAAAAGGATAACTATTGCATTGTTCTGTACACCTGAAACTAACAATAATAAATAAGTAAATAAATAAATAAATAAAAATCAACCATGATCTCCAAAGTAGAGGTGGGGTGTTTAGTGGCTGACAACAGTGTTTACTGGAGATAGCCATCTTTAAACTTGATGCTACTTTGAATTGAATACCTCAGCAATCAAAGCTTAAGAGGTGCACTTGCATTACAAAAAGAAAAGCCAATTGTCAGGTCTTTCAGGACACCATAATCAAGGCTTAGGCCAGTACACCTTGAGGAGTTAGGCAAAAGGGAGGTTGGGAATTTAGGTGGGTGAGTATGGACAACAAAGGCCATGAAAGTAAACATCACCTTTGTCATAATTTTCCTTACCTTACATTTGTGGAAAGATTTCTGAGAGGTTAAGACCCAGTAAATTAAAAGAATGAAACGTTTCTTGTCTTCTGCAAAAGGATAGGATATAGTCACCCTTACTTAATAAAATTTGAAGATGGGAGGGCCGGCCGAGTGGTGCGTTGGTTGGGAGTTGGCTTGGGACACCTGCTCTTAGCGGCAGGGCAAGGGTTCTGATCCCACATAGGAGGGCCAGTGATGCTGCGCCCTCTACAGCTGAGATGATGAGCAGCAGCTCGACCTGGAGCGGGGCTGCCATGAGTCGCTGGCGACTGCATAGGCTGCAGTGGTGCTGCAGTGGACTGCCGTAAAGCTACCGTGAGTGGCTGGCAGCCAGCGTGAGCTGCCAAGAGCCACTGTGGGTGGCCGTCGATGGCCAATGATGGACCTGCCTCACCTAGGAAGAGCGCAATGATAATACCAACATGGGCCAGTGGGGCGACGTCCTCCACAACTAGACTGAAGAAAAGGGGGACAGTAGCTTGTCTGTTCCCCTTCCCCGATTCCCCAACACTGTTCTTCTCCCTCAATTCCCCAATAAAATCTTTAAAAAAAATTTTTTTGAAGATGGGAAAGAGGATTAAAAGTGATACTGTGTTTCTGAAGAGAAAAAAAAACAGAAGCAGATTAAATTTAAAGTATGGATAAAGCTTCAAGTTTAAGAATGGAAGAAATTTTAAAGCAAACTACATGTCATATAAGTAGGTACATTTTATCCTTAAGACACTCAGAATTAGCATTCTATTCTTTCCAAGTAATATTGTTTCTCTAATAACTGTAGTTATGATTCGCCAATAGTCAGGTCACAAAATATTAGATGACTGAACTTTAATTTTTTAAAAAATATTGTGGAGATGCTAGAAAAAGAATTATCAAAAAAAGTGCCATTGGCTTCAACAGTAATGAAGTTATTGTAGGTGTTAAAATAACTTAACCATAAGGAAAAATGAAATACTGCCCTTATGACAACATGGATGGATCTAGTGAGTATTATGCTAAGTGAAATAAGTCAGGCAGAGAAAGACAAATACCATATGGTTTCACTTATGCGTGGAATATAAAAACAAAACAAAACAAACAAGCAAAACAATAACAGAATCATAGAAACAGAGACTAAAGGGATGGTTACCAGAAGGGTGGGGCTAAGAGGATGGATGAAAAAAAGGGAAGAGATTTATAGTCAATAACACTGTGATCAGTTTACTGTGTGACAGATGATTACTAGAATTAGTGGGGTGATCGAAGTGTAAGGTATAAAAATGTTGAACCACTGTATTGTACACCTGAAATTAATATAACCAATATAAGATTCTATACCAACTACACTTAAATAAAAAAGTAAATAAAAAATAAAAAAGCAGTAAGGGGGTTGGAAGTGAAAGTCAGGTTGCAGAGGCTTAAAGCTTAAATGGAGTAGAAGTAAGATGAAAACGTGGAGACAATGTCTTTTTAAAGAAATTAAAAGCCTGATTTAAAAAAACACAGCCTGGAAGACTATAATTAGTGATATTAAATGCAGTTTTAGCTTCAGGGGCTTTGAGAGAAGTGCCACTCCAGTCACTCAGCAAAAATACATGAATGTGTTTGAGGGTATCTTTTTGTCAATATCTTGAATACAGTTTCTCACACTATAAATAAAATAGCTGTACATCAAACCACCTTGAGTTAAAAACAAGGAATATAAATGGAGAAGAACAAATAGTCAAGGGAAAATCTCAGGATCCAGGGTTGTGGTTTGTTGTCATTGTAATTTGTTTGTTTTTCAGGAGAAATGCATCTTACCCTTAAAACAATCTTTTGATATTAACAATTGAAGAGAATTCTGCTCTTAATTATGTGGATATGCCCTATATCCAAGGTTTGTCTTGGATGAAGAAGGATTAAGTACACATGAAGCAACATCTTTCTTTCCCCCTAACTTGTTTGTAAATCCAGTCCATATAATGAATTACAAACAACCAACCACATTTATAAATTTTGAAGAGCAAAACAATTATCTGAGAAAAAGTTAGATTATTTTACAATAACAGAAATCCTGAAGCAATAATTCACTGCTCATACAAGAATATTCAGAAAGGCTATTGGAATAATGGCAATATTGATTATGACATGAAAGGAGAAAATACATGCACACTTCTTTGCTTCATTTATATATGCACAGTCTTTTACATGCACAGAATTCAAATATCTATATCCCGATAAAATCTCTTATTTTTACATGCTGATTGGAGAGATTTCAAAAGTCAATGATGAGAAACCACACACCAGTAACAACCTTTATCCTGCTGGGACTGACAGAGGATCCACAGCTGCAAATTCTGCTTTTTATCTTTCTATTTCTCACCTACGTATTGAGCGTAACAGGGAACCTGACAATTATCACCCTCACATTGGTGGACTGCCATCTTAAAACTCCTATGTACTTTTTCCTCAGGAATTTTTCCATCTTAGAAATCTCATTTACCACTGTCTGTATTCCTAGATTCCTGTACAGCATATCAACCGGGGACAATAGCATTACCTACAATGCTTGCGCAAGTCAAATATTTTTTGTTATTCTCTTTGGAGCAACAGAATTTTTTCTCCTGGCAGCCATGTCTTATGACCGCTACGTTGCTATCTGTAAGCCCCTTCATTACATGACCATCATGAACAATAGGGTATGTACCTTATTAGTCCTCTGGTGTTGGGTGTCTGGCTTACTGATCATTCTCCCACCACTTAGCTTGGGCCTCCAGCTTGAATTCTGTGACTCCAATGCCATTGATCATTTTAGCTGTGATGCAGGCCCCCTCCTAAAGATCTCATGCTCAGATACATGGGTAATTGAACAAATGGTTATCCTCATGGCTGTATTTGCACTCATTATCACCCTCGTGTGTGTGTTTCTGTCCTACACATACATTATCAGGACTATTCTGAGATTCCCTTCCGTCCAACAAAGAAAGAAGGCCTTTTCCACGTGCTCGTCCCACATGATTGTGGTTTCCATCACCTACGGAAGCTGCATCTTCATCTATATCAAGTCCTCAGCAAAGGATGAAGTGGCTATTAATAAAGGCGTATCTGTGCTCACTACTTCTGTTGCCCCCTTGTTGAACCCCTTCATTTACACCCTGAGGAATAAGCAAGTGATACAAGCTTTCAATGATTCCATGAAGAGGTTAATATTTCTCTCAAAGAAATCGAAGTTTTGATGAATCAGAGTAAAATGAAAGAAGAAAGTCCTCTAAATATTTAACTACAGCTCCTAACTTTTTCATTGTTTTGTGTCTGTAATTTACTCTTAGTAACCTTCTGAAAGACATTTAATGCTGTATTCTAATCTCACCTTAAACTCCTTCTTCTTCCAAACAAAACTCATACATCAAGTTTTTTCTCATTGTGAAACTATACAATATATTTCCAAGCAATTAAACTTGCCTCCATTTCTGACCTTGTATTTTCTTCCATGCTCTAGGGAAGGAGAGAACATAATATTTAAAAGTATATAAATTATGTAGAAGATACATTATGTATTAATATTACTAGTCTCTCTTTAAGACAAAGTTATCAAAGTTAATATTATAAATCTAAGAATCAAATAAAATATTGAGAACAGCAACAGCTAAGATGTACAAGGTCTGACAATTAAGTTTGTAATCTTTGTTGCAACGATGTTTCTAACCTTTTTTGATATCAGAGGGATTGTTCATTATGAATACCAACTGGACAAACAGGTAACCAAGTTTACTATTTGGAAGTGCTGAAAAGACTGTGTGAAAAAAGTTAGATGACCTGAACTTTTCATCAACAATTCATGGCTTTTGCATCAGGACAATGCACCAGCTCACAGGGCACTGTCTATGAAGGAGTTTTTATCCAGGAAACAAATATTAATAACTGTATTGAAACACCCTCCCTACTCACCTGATCTGGCCCCCTGTGACATCTTTCTTTACTTGAAGATAAAGGAAATATTGAAAGGAAGACATTTTGATGACATTCAGGACATCAAGGGGAATACGACAACAGCTTTGATGGCCACTCCAGAAAAAGAGTTCCAAAATTACTTTGAAGGCTGGACTAGGTGCTGGCATCAGTTCATAGCTTCCCAAGGGGAGTACTTTGAAGGTGACCATAGTGATATTCAGCAGTGAGGTATGTAGCACTTTTTCTAGGATGAGTTTGCGAACTTAATTGTTTGACCTTGTGTTAAAAATAATTTAACCAAATTAATTAATTAATTAATTTAATTAAACCAAATAAGGCCTTCCAGGCCGATTAAAATAATGAAAACAACAAAGTTGAAGCAGAGATATCAGTTCATTTTTCGAAATAATCAGTACCAAGAAATGGAAACATCTTCATAATCACTGATAAGATGTATGGTAGTCCGCCTATATCTGGAGGGGATATGTTTCATGACACCCAGTGGATGGTTGAAACCTGGGATAAAAGCAAACTCTATATATACTATGTTTTCTCCTATACAGGCATACCTTTTCACTTAAAGATATGTGTGGTTTCTGTTTGGCATATTCAAATTGCCAGCATCACTACTCATGTTTTGGAACCATCATCAAATAAAACAAGCATTACTCAAACACAAGCACTGTGATACCACAACAGTAGATCTGATAACCAAGACAGCTACTTAGTGACTAATGGGCAGGTAGCATATACAGTGTGTACAAAGGGATGATTTAGGTCCAGATGGAACAGAGAGAGATGGCACAAGATTTTATCACAGTACTCAGAACACAAGCAATTTAACGCTTATGAATTGTTTATTTCTGCAATTTTCCATTTAGTATTTTCAGACCACAGCTGACCCTGGGTAACTGAAACCACAAAAGTGAAACTGCAGGTAAGGGGGGACTACTGTATTAGCAATTTATTTATATTCATGAGAGAAATTCCTGAAAAGGCACACATTTAATTTAAAATACATTTAAACATAATGTCACTTACTATGGGTTACAAAATTAGAATAGATGCACAAGAGCGAATTAGAACATCAAATTTTAAATGCTGATGAAATGAGACAACCATTCACATTAACACTAATGAATGATTTAAGAAGATATCATGGATATCCAACTGGCAAAAATAGGGGGGCAAAGGAGCTACATAAAGGAGTAATTATGGGAATTATGATCAAGGGAACAATTGAAGAAAATGTTCCTAAATTGAAGAATTTAGAGTTTGAAGCAGGTAACAGTATGCTTGTTGAAAGAAAGAGAGAGAGAAAGAAGGAAGGAGGAAATGAGGGAAGCAGGAAAGGAGAGAGAAAGAGAAAGAGTAAAGAAAACAAACCTCCACTACTAATACTACCACCTATGTAATTATTATCTTTAAAAGTAAATTATTACATCTACTGGGTAACAGACAAAAAGGAGAAAAAATTAATCATTAAAGAAAAATGGAAAAAATTACCTCTAATATTAAACTAAAACCTCAGGGGCTAATTATTTCAAATTTTAAAATTTGGCTTTGAAATTGCAATTAAACATTCTTTTAGGTTATTTCTATTGACAACATTTTTAAAATAGCTGCCTTTTTGAACTACTGATTTCATAGTGACTGTGTTCAAGTAATCCTTATTTTATTTAATAATGGCCCCAGATATCAAACTCTTTTCATCTTATAAATATGTTTTAGTTGTATCAAAATATAGATGGAAGAAGGCTGAGTAATTTGACAAATATATCATAGGTAGCAAATAATGGAGCCTGAATTCCGATTTCAAGTCATGTTCAATCTACTGCGATATACTACCTTTAAAGCAGAAGTGTAGTTTTGTTGGGGGAGGGGTGAGAAAAGACACTATAATCCCACATTTATAAACTGACACAGCATTAGGGAATCTATCTCTTCCATAAAATACTTAGTTTATCAATGTGTCTGTTTATCTCTTTTTATTAAATTGCTTTGACACCAAAAAAAAAGTCTAAACATTTCAGAATTTAAGTACTAGATTTTATATACCACAATCTGTCCTATTGTAGCATAATTAAGATTTTATATTTTGATAAAGAGAAAGAAGATGAGAGAAAATTGCAGTTATCATCTCCCTGTCAACTTTGAAGCACATATTTATTATCAACATGACCTCATGCAGCATTCACCGAAGACTTCCTTTTTTTTTTTAATTAAATGTATTGGGGTGACAATGGTTAGTAAAATTACATCGGTTTCAAGTGCACAATTCTATGATACATTATCTATGTATCACATTGTGTGCTCACCACCCAGAGTCATTTGTTCTTCCATCACCATATATTTGACCCTCTTTACCCTCTTTTACCATCCCCCCTCCTCCTTTACCCTCTGGTAACCACTACACTGTTGTCTGTGTCTATGAGTTTTTGTTTCTTTGTTTGTCTTGTTCCTTTGTTGCTTTCAGTTTTCCCATATGAGTGAATTATTTACAGAAATCAATATGAGATACACCTGAATAAAGAAACCTGCACAAGAGACTAAAATATTTATTATTGAGACCAAAATAATTATGTGACATTTAGTAATGTATTTGATTTAATAACAAGGTAATAATTAGTGAATATAACTATTATAGTTGATATATTTGCAAAACAGAATTAAATCATTTTAATTAATTGAAGTAATGTACCATAGACTCTATCGACATGTAAAATTGAAGAAGACAATAAGATTAGGAGCCAAGAAACTGAGCCAAATAGTATTATACCAACCTTCTTTCCATGTGGAGTTCTAAGTGTTATATCCACAAATAAATGCAAAACAATGATAATTAGTAATTACTATTTAAAGCATTAAAATTTCACTCAGCATTGAAAAGTAGCATGCTTTTAAAGTGGAAATGAAAGGTGTACGGTGGTGGGAGTGTTATAGTTTGAAATAAAAGAAAGAAAGTTACTTATATTTAGTAGCTCCATTTCTTTAAGGTTATTTACGAATGCTTTTTTTCCCCTTTTTGTGGTGTTATGTCCTTGATTATTTGTAATCCTTGTGGCCACATTAGTGTCTATACACTTGAATAAGTAGGCACGTCTTCCAGTCTTTACAGATTGGCTTTGGCAGGGAAAGCCCTTCACCAGTCAGCTCACCCAGAAGTTCTGGGCTTGCCATCTGTTGGGGTCCATGGGTGAACTAGCTGCTGGAGTCCTCAAGAGGACTGGCCTTTTGACAGGTTCAGCAGGTGGGTGGGCCTTCTGCCTTTGGTCCACACAAGTTAACCTGGTATGTAGGTCCGCATGGGTGGGTCTGGAACCTGAATCCACTGGGATAGGCCTGATATTTAAATCCATTACGGCAAGCCTGGGACCTGTGTCCATGGGGGTGGCCTGAAGGCTGGGTCCAATGAGGACTGAACTGGTGCTGGGGTAGGGTATAAGCCTGAGTCTGTAGGTGCTGGGTATTTAATTTTATACAGGCTTATATCATTCTTATTAATTCACCTTTTGCATGCAATCTATAACCATGCCGCAATCATTTTCTCTCTGCTAGCCTCAATTCTGGCTGCTTTGTGGCTTGCTTTTCAGGGATGAGTGAGAAATCAGTCACTTCAAATGCTAACATTTGATTTTTCTCAGCCTCATGCTTAGCAGCCTATCAACCTGTGTTCCTGGGTTAAGTGCAGGCATAGTGACTGAAAAATAAGTCCTCTCTGTCTTTGATAACCTGTGATTCTTCTAAACTAAAAAACACTATCACCAAGTACATGAGCTACGCAATCAACATTATTCTTGTTAGTAACACATTCTATTATCTCATCTCAATTTTCAATCTCTCCTAACAAGACAAGGATTATCTTAAAGTGGGCTGACAATAATGAAGTTAGGGTTCTAAAGGCTCTTAGATCTTCCAATTCAATTTACATTTTTTAATATCCCTCTCCAGGTATATTTTTTATTAAGGTAAAAGTCACATAACATAACATTCACCTTTTTAACCATTTTACTGTATACAATTCAGTGACTATTATAATAGTACATTCACAAAGTTGTGCCATCCATCACCATTATATAATTTTAGAACATTTTCATCATCTCAGTAAGAAACTCCATATCTATGAAGCAGTGGCTCTGTTACTCCCTTCCTCCAGCCCCTGACACCATAATAAATTTTCTGTCTCTCTAATTTGCCTATTCTAGACATTTCATATAAGTGAAATTATACAATATGTTTGGCCTTTTTCTCTGGCTTCTTTTACTTAGTATAATGTTTTCAAGATCCATCTACACTGTAGAATCTAACCATACTTAATTTCTTTTTTTTATTTTTTATTGGAGAATTGAGGGAGGGAACAGCGTTGGGGAATCGGGAAAGGGGAACAAACAAGTTGCTGTCCTTTTGTTCTTCAGTCTAGTTGTGGAGGACGTCGCTTCACTGACCCTCATACAATGTAACTGGAGTCATCCTAAGTCACCTTCACTCACATGTCTGTCGGTTGAATCAGACTGTCAGTTTGAGGCCTCAGTTTTTGTTTTGTTTTGTTTTGCTTTGCTTTGCTTTGCTTTGCTTAAACATACACTTCTGTATGTGTTCTCTCCAAAGAGTCAGTTTGGGCTTTTTGACAGCATGGTGGTTGGGTTCCAAGAGTAAGTATCTCAAAATAGAGAGATCTATATAGGAGACATATTCTTTTTTTTTTAGTTATCCTTAAAATCACACAGCATCTAGTTGGAGTAGTCACTAGCTTCTGCCGAAATTCAAGAGAAGGCATTTACCCTACTTCTTGGAAGGAGTGACAAAATTACATTGTATGAGGATGTTGGATGGAAGAGGTTGTGTAACTGTCATTTAAGGAAATGCTTTCTGCCACAGGAGTGAAGGTGGAGTATAGAACATATCGCTTTATTTCTTATCCAGTGAGGCTGTACAGATAAAGAAAAATTATAGGAAATTTATGCAACATGCCACTCTGTACATTTATCGCCTCCAGTTATTCTAGGCAGACTGACAGGAACAATCATTATCTTAATGTTTGACAAATAATTTGTCTTTTTATCTTTGCATGTATCTCTCTAAAAGTCTTTATCTCCTTGTAATTTATTTTGGAGAACTAAGTCCATCAATAATCTAGTTACAAACTTTAGTTCATTCATATTTTCTTTTCCCATTATCATTAAAATTAATAGATAAATATTTTCAAGAATATTGCCTACAGAAATCTACGGTAACTGTTGACATAGACAAGAACAAATACCACTGGCACATCTGGAAAAATAACCTGTGCTAATAGCTTAACCACCACTATAGTATAAACCAACTGGTATAATGGTGTCTACATTATGACAATTATAGGGTTGTGTCATCTCTGTGTTCTAAGAGCTGACATGTGGAGTAAAAAAAAAAAAAAAGATAATTTCATACCCTAGTTTTGGAAGAAATAAAACATAATTTTATCTTTAAAGCAGTCATTTCAATTTTGACAAACTGATATTTAATATCATTTAGTAGAGAAATTTACACAGAATTAAAAACTGATAATTTCATAACAGGTCATAAAATTTATCATATATGCCCATTTATTCAATATATTCATTGGCATGTTCAAAAGATTAAATTTGTTTATATGTTTTTGAAAAAGATTTCTGAGAAATCAACTACTTGTGTATTAAATCATATTTTATTTTCTGCAATTTTAAAACTCTACCCAACACAAAAACTAAAATAAAATCACACAAATGAAATGTATGATCATTTCAAAGGAAATTATACTCACATTATTAACAGTTGACATTTGAAAATGTCACTTTACAAAATAATTCTCTAGATTATTCTTTTTTTTTTTTTAAGCTGAGCCATCCTGCCACCTGTTGGCAGCTCAATGGCTGCTCAGCTCCGGCCGGGACTCGAACCGCTGTTGCTCAGAGCTCAAACTCTTGAGCGAGCTCTTAACTAACTGAGCCACTCGGCCGGCCCTTTAGATTATTCTTTTAAACTGCAAGGTCTCTTGGAGCATCTTAAGCATATTTAATAGTAAAAAAATTCAATTTATCTAAATACTTTAAAAACATAGTTTTTAAATATAACATGTACATGTATTTAAATTATTTAACAGACACAGCTCTCCAAGAATTTATATTTTACAATACAATCAAAACTCTTCAATCATTTTATTCTAACACAGTTTCAGAGAAAATAAATTTAGAATTTTATATTTCTAACACAGAGTTTTCACTTTGAAGAACAGAAATTTGAATTCAGAATGTATACAGTGGAAAGAGTTTCTAAGCTTGGGTAAGTTAAAGTGATCCAACTAATTAAATATTAGAGGTTAATTCTTAAATGAGAAAAGTCAAAATAGGTTTTGTTTCATGTCCCTTTTATGTTTTATGTTAGTTATTTAAATAAATAGTATCACTTTTCTAAAGTACAAAATATCTTTCTAAATACATCTCTGAAGGCTTGTTTAACTTGCTGGTTCCTCAGAGTATAAACGAATGGGTTCAACAAAGGGGCAATTGAAGTATTGAGTACGGCTACTCCTTTGCTTAAAGTGATTCTTTCATTTGCTGATGGCTTTATGTAGATGAATATACAACTACCATAAGTGATAGATACAACAATCATGTGAGAAGAGCAGGTAGAAAAAGCTTTTTTTTTTTGGTGAGCTGAAGGGAATTTTAGAATTGTTTTGATGATGTAAGAGTAAGAAAGGATTATTAATAGCAATGTGAAAATGAGGGTCATCGCAGCTAAGAATAAAGCAATCAGTTCTAGTAAATGTGTGTCTGAGCAAGAAAGTTGCAGGACAGGAGAAATATCACAAATGAAATGATCAATCATATTTGAAGCACAGAATTCCAGGTCAAGAACCAAAAGCAGTGGAGGGAAAACAACCAGGAAACCAGTTGCCCAAGAACTAAGTACAAGCTGATGACAAACTCTGCTGCTCATAATGGAGGTATAATGCAAAGGTTTGCAGATGGCCACATAGCGGTCATAGGACATAGCCACCAAAAGGAAAAATTCTGTAACCCCCAAGAATATGTAGAAAAATAACTGAGATATACAACCATTATAGGAAATGGTCTTTTCCGTAGTTACAGAGGTAATTAGGAATCTGGGGATGCAAGCACTTGTGAATGAAATTTCCAGAAGAGAGAAATTTCGGAGGAAGAAATACATTGGGGTCTTGAGATGGGAATCTAGTAGAGTGAGGGCAATAATGGTTACATTTCCTATCATGCTGAATATGTAATTCAGAAGTAGAAATAAAAACATTACAATCTGTAACTGAGGGTTATCTGTCAGTCCCAGAAGGATAAACTCTGTCTGTTTTGTATGGTTCTTCATTTCTCTTTCGAGATTTCAAACTCTAGAAATAAAAAATACAAAAATGAGAAACTACATAAGTAGCTTTACCTGGAAATGATATATAAAAGAATCCATATTCACAAACATACCCATTTACAAGATAATATTCTGTCATTTTAAAGATATAATCTAGAACTGTGCAGCAGACACTATTTTAAAAAGAGCACTACAGAAATCAACTCAGCTTTGGAAATTGACTTGCAAAACCCATAATTGTTGACTTTTTTACCCTTACTTACAAACTTCCAGTAATTTGTAACTAATTCCAAATTTTTATATTTGTAAAATAAATAATATAAAATCTTGATTAAGGATTCAAAAATAATCCATTCATTTTTTTATTAACTTCATCAAAATAAAATTATACCAGTATAATGAATTAAGATCTATAGTTAAGTTCTGAAACTTTTTATTTCATATTAAAGTGACATTTGCTTAGCGCCCCATAGTAGCCTCTTGCAACTTTTCTATGAACTACTAATGAAGACAGAAAATGAAGAAAAAAAAAGAGCATAAGGCCGTAATGTCACAACAAAATAAGTACTAGTTGAATCTAGGAAAAATTGAGAGTGAATATAAAGCAGATATAGCCACATTTATAAAAATGTAATAATAATCTCTTCAGGACTTTGACATTCTGCACATGTAACTGAGACCATAAGAATAAAAGAGAAAATGCATTGCATCTATTCACAATGTTCACTCAGTTATAAGTACCTAGAATATAAACCTACTTTCAGGTTCAGCTTTGTGACAGTGAAAAATCACTGTTTTTTTGTTATATTGCCTATGTCCTCATGTCCCCAACAATCACTCATGTATATAATCAGTGACTGTTAATTTGAAGAAGTATTTATTGGTGAAGGAACTGTGTGATGATTCTGATGGGACAATAGCATTCTGCTAGCATTTTGTTTGTAATTGTAGGTTTTCAGAATCTCAATAATGAAATCAGAGTGAATAACAGAGGTGAAGTATAGCAATGGTGGAAGCCTGCTAGGAATTAGAAACTGGACTTAAAATTGTGCTAATCCACACAAAATCCAGCTATGTATCTGAGAAAGAAAAATAATGGCTAATGAGACAAAGGACAAATCACTCTTACGATTTTGGCCACTGTTTTTATTGTTTAAGAATGAGCTTTTTAAAGTTTAAGCATCTCTCTCTCTCTCTCTCTCTCTCTCTCTCTCTCTCTCTCTCTCTCTCTCTCTCTCTTAAATTTGAGCCTAAAACATAAAGTGGAGCATATTATGTAGAACATGTTTATTTTCTTCTGATGTTTGATAGGAATTAGGATTGGTAAAGCCCAAACTCTGTTTCCCCTTTCACGCAGCCTGTCATTTTTGTCAAACAAGAAGCTGATTAAATTTCAATCAAAAGAACAAAAGACTCCAGGAAGATTGTTCTCAGAAAAGCAGTGGCTTCAGCAATTACGCCATGGAAAGTAAATTTAGTGTGGAGCCTGTGACTTAACTCTAAAGCTGGTGTACCCTTTTTGTTTAAATGGTGAAAGTTAGGGAAATGCTGGCCCATCCCACCTAATCTAATCTCTGACACATGAGAGAACCTTAGTAACTAATGACACCAAAGTCTCTGTATATTCATCGTGCATGTTGAAGAGATTCCTTTTTAGTGAATGCATTTCCGGTCAGTTGTAAATGGAAGGAGGAGGTGATTGTGTTAGGAGTAAACAGTATGGATGGAAGAGAGGAAACACTAGCAGTTGATTGCAAATACAGCTACACGATTCAGCTTCCTCTAGCCATGCCTTTGATAGTGTCTTCTCACACTGTCTCTGGACTGCCTTCATGATTTGCTTAAGCCAAGATGACTCAAGCTGATGCTTGGAAAGTGAATGCACATTGGGCCCTCTCCGGCCACACTTGAGACCCTTGTGATCAAGGTCATGTACGTGAGCCTGAGCCAGCCTGTTGGGTTATGAGGGACATGTGGTCAAGCCATCCCCGTAGTCCCAGCTGACTTTGTGCCAATCACTAGATGTGTGAGGCCATCCTAGACCACCCAACCTCAGCCAAGCCAACCCTAACCAGAGGAACCCCCAGGCAGAGAGTCAGCAAATCACGAGAAATAATAAATGTTTATAGTTATGGAGGTTTTTGCGGTGGTCTGTTATGCAGCAAAAGCTAAGCAATCCAATGACCTTCTCTTTCTGCTCCAGGTTCCAGTCTTAGTCTGTGGACTATGATGGGGAAAGGTTCTAATCAGAACTCAGGATGCCCTGATTTTGAGATCTACCCTCAGAGGCTTTCAGGCATAGATAGAGCCTGTATTTAGCAAATTCAAAAAGGCTGACCCCCTTGTTTACATGGCTTGTCTTCTTGCAACCCACATGTGGCTTTGACCTAAGATTTAGATTCTTGTTCATGAGCTATTGAAGGCTTCCCTTTTCAGGACTGGTACATTTTGCTTCTGTCTTATCACTTGACTATCACCCATCCAGTTTGCCATTTATATAGCATAGTCTTAGTGCTGCCAGGCATAAGAGATTCCGTTTACTGAGTGGAGCAAACTGGTGAGACATCAGGTACCCAAGTTGCCTCTGTCTTGAATTTTCTCATAATTATTGTCTCCATCACCATACCCTTCCCAATACTTTTCATTTCCTCACCTCCAGGAGAGACTCTCTCATTTTATTTTATTTATTTATTTTTTCAATTTGAAAACAGTGGCTGTTTATTTTATTAACTGACCAGATTACAAAAATACCCATGGTAGATACCTTAGTTCATCCTCCTAATAAGCCTGTTGATCTGGTCTTCCCTGTTGCCAGCGTCTCCCCCCTCCACAAAGTGGGTGGTCTTCTTCTTCATTCCACCTCGTGGAGAAGACAATTTGAAGGGCCACAGGAAGTTGTTTGCTTCTTTGAANCACACACACACACACACACACACACACACACACACACTAAAACATAGGAACAGTGTAATATGGCTAAGAGTTTTGAATCAAAGTCAGAGAGATCTTTTTGCAAATTTTACTCTATCACGTATTACTAGTCATATGGTCTTGAGAAAATTAACTTCCTTGTTTTAGATTTTTCAACTATAAAAAGGAGGTAAAACCATTTTGACCTCAATTATAAGGATAAAATGAGATGTGTACAGAATGCATCAATGTCTAGTAACCGCTTAATAATCAGTGAAGAGATCAGTACACATAAAAACTGTAAATGTGTAGCAATATTTTAGAGGCTGTCACTTTATACTTTAACATCTCATATAAATTCCTTAATTAAAGCAATACTAAGGTTACTAAGAATAGAAAGATTATGTGGGTGGGCATTAATAATTGACTAAATTATAGCAGGTTTTTATTTTGTTTTATTTTACTGGAATCAGACCTATACAAGGATGCTGATGATCCCTGTTTTTCACCAATATCCTAAAATCTCTAAACAATTAAATAAGATTAGAAAGATAATTTATAAATTATACAATTCAGTTAGATACTTGATTGGTAAATAAAATAAATTTACTTTCTATTGATCTAATTGGGTCCTTAGAATATCCAAGATGTTAAATTGAAACTATTACAACAAGAACATAGTTCAGTAATGTGAACAGACAAAACAAATTTCTAAAGAGTAAAGAAATGTTTAGACTATATATTGGAAAATTTCTACCTTTCTCAAAAAGCAATTCAACTTTCATATTAGGTATGAGCTACATGTCATGGCATCCTTTAAGAGTGAACAATAGAAAATAATCTAAATATTTAAAAATAAGTAATTCTTTAAATAATTTTATTCATTTTTAAGTGAGGACAATGATGCATATATATTCTTATTAAAATAATCTAAAAATATTTTATATATAAAATTACAAAAATATTTATACAAATTGACCCTATTTTCATAAATGTCCACATATGGCACATGCAAATATGATTTCTTTAACTATATTAAAAAATAGTATATAATAATAAAGTACTCTTTCAGTGAGATATTAAATTATAGTGCATTTATATTTTTCATAAAAATTCATTCATTTTTAGTAACATCCTACTAAAAGACATTATTCAATAAAACATATTTTTTCAAACTTCTCTAATTTATAAAAGCAAAAACATTTACTGTTAGTGAGTTCATAACACTGATTGGCCAGATATTTTAGAGCCTTATTTTCAAATAAAATAAATCTAGTGATGCACTTCATTTTCCTCTTAACCTGAGGAAATCTTTTTCCCCATTTGCAAAATAGGTAAACTATTTCCAAATAAACTCAGAACACATGCACTGACAGAGAAAAAAATAAACTATAATATATCATATAGCATACACTGTTTTCTTTCTTTAAAATAAAAAAGTATTTAAATTACATTCTTTCTTAATCAATTAAATTTTCCCAATCAATTTCTTTGCCTGTTCTGAAGTTTTTCTTCTTTTTATTTTTAAATACATAATATTTTTCCTTCTACATAATTTAGCCTTTTAATTCATATATGAACACTACATTATTTAAATTAACAATTTTATTCATGGTTTCTCATTTTATATTTCTTAGCATATTTCTTCTCATAACTTTCTGGTCAATTATCTCCAGGCCATTGATGGAAATGGTAGATCTTAGAGAACCATAAATGAATCTAAATCTTTCTTTCTTGATCTCATCTCCATTTGGCCCTGTTTGTTTCGTTAATATCTCCTTGCTCTAACTTCCACTTTTTCTGCAAAATACATTGAGCATTCCTGAGGTCCAACGTTGGTATCAGAGTAATTTCAAATCACAAAACAGATTTTTGTTCTGAACCAGTGTAGATCTGGCAATCAATAATTATCAATGATAAAATTGCCATTGCTCAAAGTGTTGATTAGAATTAGCACTCCCTAAGCGAAATAAGTCAGACAGGAAAAGTCAAGAACCATATGATTTCACTGATATGTGGTATATAAAATTGAAAACAACAAAAGAACAAGACAAACAAATGAAGAAACAAAACTCATAGACACAGACAATAGT